TGATGAGGAATTGAGAAGATTAGAATTTAAGAAAACACAAAGAATGGATGAACCTGCAACATTGTTAACGATTTTGAGCCATGTCATTCAAGGTCTCTAACCATCGATCACTTTCATCTCAAGGACCCCAACCAGGTAATCTACACTTACCAACATGGCGCAGTTCACTTATCAGTGAATTTATGGATTTCTGCCACGTTTTGGACCGGCTGACACTAGATTTCTTTCAACCTACTCCTACACCACAAAACATAGCTCTTGGAGGCAGTCAGTGGTTGGGCATACGTAACACATGTCCCGACCACCTCAACTAGTGAAGTACCAATCCTTCATCTACCGATCTACCATCCTTACCTGGTACCTTTTTCTCAGAAAACGGCATTGCTTACTTGGTTGTCCCAGGATATTTGAGTAATGCTACGAAGAAATCCATTATTGAATACTAATATTTTCAATAAGAGAGTTATGGAGATTAGTGTTTTTACACATTTGAAATCATCATTAACCTTCTTCTACACTAAACCGGCCATATTCCGCACCTATATTGCAGGACGGAGCAAACTGATGCACAATAGACTCATCCTTTGGTCAACAAACGGATATCTTGCCTGCGCCATAAGTGACGCAACTTGGTTAAAGCCAATCTAGCCTTTTGTATCCGTGCTGAGATCTCGTCAGTCGCCAGACCATCAGCACTGATGATAATCCCCAGATAAGTGAAGCGGTTGACGTGCTCAAATGTTTCACTTCCTACCACAAGTTCAGGTGCCGTCGCAAGCCACTCTTGAAGCAACATTTTGCATTTCGAAGGAGAAACTCGCATCCCGAACATGCTTGTACTGTTGCTTAGAGTAGTCGGAAGACTGTGCATTTTGTCAGCGTATTCACCAAACAGAACAGTGTCGTCGGCATATTCTAATTCAGCAAGCGTGGCTCCTGGTAAGAGGTCCACTCCTGAAGAGTCATACAATGATTATGTTAACTCGAGAAGCATATCTACGATAAAGTTAAACGAGAATGGGAAGAGTGGACAGCCTCGACGGGCACCACTTGAAGTAAGGAATTCCGGTGAAAGTTCGCCATAAGCTCTCACTCAACCTGTGGTGTTCGAGTAGAGAGCTTGTATAAGGTAAATGTACTTCTTTGCTACACCTTTCACCGACAGACACTGCAACAGAACCTCACGATCCACAGAGTCAAATCCCGCCTTAAGGTCCAGGAAGACAACTATCGTCAGACGACTTAAGGTGTGTCTGTATTTCAGGACCTGTCCTAGTGTGAAAACGTGGTCTATAGAGTCATGTCCAGGTGTGAAACCAGTCTGGTTTTCTCGGGTCTGCTTTTCACGAGCTTTCGTTAAACGTCGAAGTATTATTGAGGCCCATATTTTAGTTACTAAATTAGTTAGACTTATACCCTTGTGATTGTCACAAGCAGACTTTTGTCCTCTCTTATAAATTGGGACAATCAGTGATTGAGACCAGTCGGATAGGATTACGTCCAGTTCCCAGATTCTACCTAAGATCTCAGTCAATCTAACTGTTAAAATTGGACCATTATCCTTAAAAATCTCAGGAGTTAGCCTCAGTTGAACTGGTCCCTAAAGTGTTCTGCCCATTGATCCAATCTCCTGGATTGAGCATGAATAATAATCCCACCCATTTCCGAGATAGTTTCACTCTCATTCAAGTTCCTAATACCGGTTTCCTTGATTAGGCGGAATAGTTGTCTACTGTTACCTACCTCCGCTGCCTTTTTCATCTCTCTCGCCTTCTCTACCCACCACTCTTAGCGATCATTACGTAGGCTTTTTATCAGTCTGCGTCTAAGCCGACTCCGCTCCTCATGGTACTCAGCGCCAGACGGGATAAGCTTCCAAGCATCCATCAGTTCGATAGATGCTACTGAGATCCGCGGCATCAGAATAACTTTATGGTTTACGTTGCTAGCAGATATGATTGCCGTTTCCGCAGCTTTTTTAATATCATTCCAGCCTGCCTCCGGATGGGAATCACTTACATGGTTGCCTGTCTTTCTAGTTGTTCTTGAAATATTTTCTTAGTTTGATTATCATTAAGTAAAACCCTAAGAGGCTTCCTTACGGTGTCTTTCCTACGTCCAGTAAGCCTCAATACAAATACGGGCATGATCTGAATCTAAACACGAACCCCAGAACGAGCGACAGTCCTCTATCGAACCCCTCCATCGGTGGCTGATGGCGATGTGATCTAGCTGGGTGCAACGTTGCGACGACTTTGGGGGTCGCCAGGTCAAAAGATGCTTTTCCTTATGCCTAAAGTTATTGTTTGCTAAGAATAGGATAATAAGAGCATACTTGCAACAGACGGTCGCCATTGTCTGTTCTCTCAGTCGCTACACCATAACATCTACCCAGGTGTCTTTCCTCTTAACTTAGTCTACCTAATCGAGCATTGAAGTCACCAGCCACTGTTACTATATCAGAGCGTCTAACTTTTCTGAGGTCTGAAAGCTTTCTGTAAATCTCATGTTTTATCTTGTCTAAACTGCGGTCAGTGGGAGCGTAGGCAGATACGACGAAGATGCAATGGCTAGTCTCCCTATCTTTACGACCCTTACTGTCCCACCTAGTCAGACAGCGCATAAACAACTGTCTACTGGGATCCAGTCTAAAAGAGCTAGTTATGCCCTAGTACTCAATATTATACCTACATGAGCGAGGCCACGAGAAGCAGCAACAGGGCTCCCAGATACACGAAACGTAAACCGAGTTGATTCTCTATCTGCACAAGGTGAAATCGAATTGATGATTTTACCCGGGTCTTGTAAGCGCGTTTTGGAGACGCAACACACATCGATGGCATGAGATTCCAGAGTCCTGGCTAAGAAAGCCAGTTGTCCTATTTGGTACAAGTTTCGAACATTAAAAGATTCAATATGTAGTTTAGAGCGGGGTTTCAGGAGAGCAGGAACGTTTCATGAGCTCGAAGCGTTTGCTTCGGCGACGCGAGGTGACAAACGATTGGAAGAAGGGTTGGTCGTGGAGATAAGAGTTATTAGAAGGAGCAGAAAGGATTTGATTCTGACCGATTAAGTCTCTTGTGCTTTTATGGGTATGAGAGCGATTGTCACTTCCCGGCTGCCCACACCATGGAAGGGCTCTGGTTGTCAGAAGAGGCATCAGCCTCGTGACTTCCAAAGGAACTTGACTTTCATCATCAGAAGTCATAACTCTTCTAAATGAAGACCTTCTAACTCCGAGGGCAGATTTAAATGGTTTGAATTCTTCTTTCATGTAAGCATTTTTTAAGGAGTTAGTTTTTCTATGGGATGAGGTCGCCAATCCATATCTCAACCCTCCTTCTTTAACCGAGCTTAGGACCGGCAGTAGCCTAGAAGGGTCTACATGTGTAGATCTTAATGCAAATACAACTCACTATTTAGTCACTTAACTCAGTTTTACGACTAATTAATGAGGAACAAAAGTAGATCGGCGTGAGAGTTTATTAACATGCAACATTGGAACGGTCGTATACATCCTTATTGTATAATTATTAAATAACTAAATTATAGCATATTTTTTTATATATTCCTTTTGTTGTAAGCTTCTGATTAACCAATTTTGTATGATTTAATATTTTTTTGTTAGTTTATCATCCACTGCCAATTTAGGGCTTGTTCTGTGTTAATGCACTTTCTTATTCCATTGTGTGTTACGGTCTCTTATGTTTTGTAGAGGCTGGCTACGTGCTTTTGAAGAAAGAGAGCAGATTAAGAAGAAAAAAAAATTGTCAAGTTGTGGACCAATAAAGATTTAGAGGTAATTCAAGGTTATTGATGTTAACATGTAATTCTGATTGGTGTTTGTGTTTTATTATACATGATATTGATAAAAAGGGTTATGGGGTATTTAAAATTATTTCAGAATATAATACAATACAATACACCATAGTAATAATGGATTTATTTATTGTAAATATTTTCCAGAGCTTTAATAATATAAACACAAAAATTGGAGCAAATAACCAGTGTTCTACTGAAGAGATAAAAAAAAAGTCTTTTCATTATTTCATGTACAAAATGAAAAAGATGTGAAATATACAAATAGTAAAGAGATTAACAAATGAATAAATAAATTATTATTGAAAAGCAATGAAAGAAACACCACTACCACCTATGATAACAAAAGGTAAGTGATAATTGTGAAATATTCCCATTTTTCTTTATGGGGTTTTAAGATGACAAAATCAATTAGAATTGAGCTTCATCAATGAATAACGGTTCGATTAATCAGAAAGAAATCAGATCTGAAATATACATTTCTTGTGAAACAAACAAAAACATATATCAATTGAGGCATCAATTACAGTCCTAACTATCAAAAAACAAATGAATTGAACTTCACTCCCCTCCAGTTAAACATAGGACAGTGGCTCTATGGACTCAGTAGTTGAGCGGATAACGTGATGGTGTTTGAAGCGAACGTTACTAGGTTAGAGTCTCAAAATGAATATCAACTAGGGGATGCAGGTGTACTCAGCTGACCAGTCGCAAATAGGATTAAAACTCGCTTCCTGGATTCTACTACTAGCTACTATCCATCTCTGGTTATAATATACTTTGTAAGTCAATGGCTGTAAATCGAAGCAATCCGCACATGATGCACATATTGAGTCCAATAAGACTGATCAATATCAGTCCCAATGATCAATGGGGAAATTCAAAAAATAACCACCAAAAAAACAAATGAGTTGAAAAGAAATTAGTCCAAGAAAGACAAAATAATTTTACAAAGGTTATAGAATTATGCAACACATTGAACTCGAACAAGGGATATGTATGTGGAACACAAACATGAATTGAACACAATCGAAACGATTGAAAACAAGAAAGACCTGAGTATTAGAAAAGATTTTATAAACATGTAAAAAAAAATATCGGTTCTATGTAAAATAATATTAAACAAAATAATATATAGGTATATATGTATATATATCACAGATTATATAAACAAATTTTTATCAAGCACTTAATTGTGATTTATAAGATGATGATAGTAAAATATCACCACCTCCAGTTGATCCAGTTGTTTGACTACTAGTTTCTGGTAAATATTTTTGCACATAACCTATTGATATGAAACAACACATTGAAAATGTGATAAACAATACGGCAGGATCAATTAAACCACTCATTATTTTAAATATTTCTGTAATTATAAAAGCCGAGATCCAATTTACAGCAATAGCAGCACTGATAGCATTTCCACGACTATCAACTGGAAATAATTCCATACTAACAAGTACTGGTAATGGTCCCCATCCAATGGAATAACCGAATATAAATAAGAGAATCCAAAATTCAGTAATTATTGAATTGAATGAATAAGTCTGGAAGAGAAATGTAGAAAGGTGTCAAAGCAAAGTAATTGCCTTTTTTTTAAATTAAAAAACATATCATCATTCAAGGTATATATTTTAATCTAGGTCAATAAAAATTGAGCTGAATGAACACTGAACATTAACGTTTCGTCACTCATACACGTGTATAACGATGAAAAGTAACTAGAATGTTAACAGACTATTATAGTGTGGTGTGTGCTACTTATACGAACGATATAAGTAGCATAAGAAGGGACGTGAAAGAAGAAATCGCACGGTCAGAAGAGGAAAACGGAAAGCAAATGGAGCAAAAGCAAGAAGTAAATGGAGTACCAACAGGAAGGAAAGGAAGCAACAACAGGAATGGAAGAAGGACGGAGTGTTGGAAGTCACGACTCAAAGATGGTTGTAATGTTTTCGTTTTTAACTGACTTAGAGTGTAAATTTGCACAACACACTCTTCCTCTCCTGCCTCAGTCTTCTTAATAGAATACGATTAAATTCAGATGGCTTCAATGATACATTTAAAAATCACGTGACTGCCTGAAGTAAATTCAGCATCCTAATAATCAAGTCGGAGAATATCAACAGTGTGGTTAGTGTGAAGTTGAATACACAGAAATGTATCAATAGTGTATTCAAAACAAAACACAGAACAAATATATTAAGCACAATGAAATGGAAAAGAAAGCTTGTTTTGTACACATTGCTTACAAAAGGAATAGATTTTTTCAGATTGGCCATAAAATAAATGTTGCATTGAAGAATACTTAACCAATGAGTTTACATGAAACAAACTAATCTCTAACAAAACAAAATCCACAAGTCATCCCTCAATATATATCTATCTATCTGCACATACCAATTTATATGGTACACACTAGATATTCATCCGGACAGCTACAACTTCCCTACACTTGCATTTTGCAGCAATTATTATAAGACAGTAAATTTTATTATCATTCTCGATCATGGTAAGAGAATGCTACCTATATAATTAAAGGAAATGAAAGTGTCTCTAATCAGATCTACGATATTCATCCAATATCCTAAGAGAATTATTTTTTTAAGTTTAATTCTATTGGTCAATTCCTACTGGTCAATATTATGGTTGTCCTAACTATCAAGGTCACGTGCTTCAATGTTGTTTCCTATTCGACCTAATGGTATAAATACGCATTATCTGTAACGTTTTATCACCCGGACCCGGATTCCTAGTCTGGGATCCTGACTGTCTTCTGGACTCGGACCTCGTACTTTCTGGATACTCGTAGAATACAGGTTCTACTTCATATCAAGTCTTCTTCTTTTACTCAATGGGGGTTGGGACAAACGGATCAGAGTAGCATGTTATGTCGCTGGACACTCGATCCTCACTCTCGTTTAATGACTAAGGTAAACTCGTAACAATTCAAGCATATCATCATATGACGTGTTAACGTGCATGCGTAACAAAAGTTGGCAGTGACCGTTTTCATACCCATCACTACTGATTGTTTTCAATTCAAATCAACACTCAGTAAAAGGCCTTAAAGACTTCACTTCTATCTGAAGTTTGTGCTGACGATGCCGTTCAGCAGGAGAACAATGAAAGCTGCACAACCAAAACATCTAGCTCAGAGAACGAAACACCACCACAATCATTCACCTGTGCTACCAATTTTACTCCACCATCTCAAAACCTTGAACATTTATGAATTCCTAGTTGTTTCACATTTAAGAAATAAGAAAGTTAAACTCCATAACTGTGTACTTTGGCACTATTGAGCTTCATTTTAGCACACGACTAATGATTACAAACTTCTTAGAGAGGTAGAAAATTTACCTATGAAACAATCTTATAGTGATGATGAATATACCATTATGTCAATATACTTCGTACATTCCCAGCTACGTAAACAATAAACTGATATAATCTGGTAACAAGTAAAAAAAAAGAAATTACTTCTCAATCAACTTACAGAAATTGTAATACCATAAGCTAGTAACGCTATCGCCATGATAAAAGCACTAAACTTAAGTAAAGTTTTTCGACGTATCAAATTGATAATAAAACTTGCTAAAATAGTAAATATCATTTGGAACAAGCCTATAAAAAAAGCACACAGAGGTGGTGATGATACATTGCTAATGAGACAAATGGATTCAGCAAAAAAGAGCACAGCATTTATACCAGTTAATTGTTGAAATATCATCAACACTAAAGCAATTCGTAATCGAGACTGTTGACTTGAAGGAATCATTGAACATGGAAAAATGTACGCCCGTAATGATTGCTTTTTTGTCTTAATCTCATTGATATTTTCATTCAAATCAATCGGATTCACAGAATGTCCACTGACCTTTAAAAAAAACAACATGTAAATAAATAAAACACAAGATTTGCATGAGTAGTAGTATTGCCATGAGTTTGTGGAATATCTTAATCCATAATAAACTATTAAGTTATCTCTGTTGAAACTCCCGACCGAAGCTGCTACCTTGACGTGGTGGTCGGGACTGCCTATCGTGATGACCCAACAGAGCTATATTGGCTGGAACTTATGTTCCTGAAGGTTCTATCATGCCAGGCAGGTTGATTGGAGAACGATGAGACTAAAAGCAGCTGCTCGCTCAAGGTCAGAGGGCGAAGTCGTACTGCTGACTATGATGGAGGGGTGTGACAGCACTAAGGTGTTTCCCTCGGACAACCAGCATCTGCAGCGATGCTGCCTTCTTACAAGGAAGGAAGGGTTAGAAAAGGTCGGCCCTAAAAATGTCACACCTCATCCTTCCTCACGGATTTCCGTCTTCGGTGGTAAGGGTGCCCACTAAGAGCTTTCAAGAGAGTAGCTAATACTCAAAGAACTCATAAAAAGGCCGTGCGTGACCGGCCTCAAGCAGTTGTCCCTTGGGCTCTGCGGTCACGTTCCCAGGTCTCGAAGACCAACACTAATCTATCTTCCCTTTCAGGTCCCTCAAGAAACAACCTTCCACGGTTTGGGCAGCCGGGAAGTGACAACCGCCCTCATACCCGTAACAGCAAACGAGACCAAATTGGTCAAAATCAAATCCTTCCTTCCTGACTATTGAAACTAATAAGAATATTAGGATTTTAATAATAGGCTATACGAGAAAAGTGAAATAGACATTTTTATATACAATTAAATACATTTTCTATTTACTACCACTAAAGTTGCATAAGATTATTTACAGACTGTCACCAAGTAAAATTGTTGATAACTTGAATAGTAGAATAATGGTTTATGTGAAATATTAACTATGTGGAATGTTTGAAAATATGAAGACCCAATGATTACTTTGTGAACAGCTGACTAACTTTCCACGGTAGAAAATACTCTGCCAACTATAAAAGATTACCTTATCGAATATTTGCACTTTATTGTTACAGTAACTATGATATTGCAATATTCTGCCACATACTACATACTACAATGGTGGATATGAAAATTAGTTTCATACTAATCAATTCAAAGGATCAACAAAATGCTACTAGCAAGCGTTTTGTTACATTTAACTCTAAAAGATTAGGTTTTTCTTATGTATTGCCATGGAACATAAGTAACGTAAGTCTAACCATCCACTATCTCGACGAGTGATGTTGTGTGATGAAGGGGTAGGCTGAAAGAACGCTAGGGGCGGCTAAAACAAAATACGGCACAAATCCATAGACGAGTCACTGACCGCTGAATTGAGTCATGTTAGTAGGTGTAGACTAACCGGTTGGGGTCGACGAGATGATTGTAACCTATGGTTAGAGACTTTGAATGGTATGGTTCAAAATAGTTTGCAATGGTGCAGGTGCATTCATTCATTGTTTCCTCTCAAATTCCTAATGACATTTTTTTACATTTTTGAAATTTATCTCACAAGATTATACTTCGTGAATCATATCTTCGATCACTAATCTCTTCGATTACCGCTAATACTTCTATGGACGATTCCATCTATATACTAACGTGGTATGGTAACTTGAACTAATATACGTACATAACAAGTTCTGTGTTATACTTGACTAACTGATTGCTATGGAACCTGATATGCAATTTTTCAAATGGCTTTTTTCAATTATCGGAAATACAAAAAATAACCAAATTAAGCTGTATGTAATTTACAAAACTCTTCTTAGTTTTATTATCATTCTTACTGCTTTTCACTGTTACTTAATAAAGTGATTTGAGAGGTTTGTAATAAAACAATGTTTTATCAATGCTTTTCAGCAATCTTGT